CTCTGGCCTACACACCAGTTCTTCTATGCAAAAACAGATAATATAAGAACTCTCTACAAAATAAAACTATCTGGAATATCTGAAACACTTGATCGTTTCCTCTCCACTGTATCAGTTATTTATGTTGCATAACAAATTTTCCCTAACTATAGCAACTTGCAAAAAACAGAAGACTGCAGTTAAGGTCCAACTGGAATGAGGTCATTCTACAGTTGCTGATACAATTCAGTTCCTTGAGAGCCCTTAGACAGAGAGGCTCAACAGGCTCCTGGCCTTAGTCCCTCACCAGACAGATGTCACTAACACCAACTTGGTAACACAGCTCCATCCGTTCTATAATCTGTTTGCAAATAAAACTTTCTTTTTCATACATCCTTCACTATTTTAAACTTAAAAGCATTTTCAAAACTTATAAAAGGTGGAAACTTGGTCAGGTGCTAGGAGTATTTCAAGAAACCCTTTGGTACCCTAGTCAAACAATACCATAACTGTGTGTGTGTTTTTTTTAAGTTAAAAAAAGAAAAATGTGACTCATCAAGACAAACTGGTGACTCACCTGATAATGTTTTCAGTGGAGTATTTTGTTTTCTAAAGATTTATTTATTTATTCATACAGAACTGGGGTACAGGCCAGAGGTGCAGGGGCAGTGAGAGGCTTCACCAGAGACAGAGTGGGGAGCAGAACAGGCAGATGGACGAAGTACACTGGATCACCGGGGATTGAACTCATGCTGAAGTGGCTTTAGCTTCTTAGTGCTGTGCTTTAACCCGCTGTGCCACCAGGGAGGGCCTCAGTAGAATATTTTAAAGTTATTAGTGAGTTGTAGATTTAGGTTGGAAATAAGGCTGAAATCAAAGTTTTTGGTTTAAATGGTCTAAACTGCTCTACATTTCAAATCATTACAAAAGTTTATGTTAGATTCAAAGCCTTGTGATAAAAAGTTCTTTTTCTTGTCATTCTCCTCCAGTTATCTATTTTCAAAAGGGATCTACAATGTATACAATTTAGGGATCTGTGGCCATCAGTTCACAACCTATCAGAATGTTCAGATGCCACTCCTTGGGAGCAGATGGTTATCTCTAGTTTGGTTTATATAGATCACTAGTTGAAGATTCACAGGATAAAGACTCTCACCATTATTTAAAAAATGATATGAGGAAAAGAATTAAAATGAACAAACAAGCAAATTAAGTGGCAAAAACCAACAAGGATTCATAGTCTGTCATAGTAGAGCCTTTCAGGATACAGAGATTACTTCTGGGTTACGGAAATATATTCTAAAACTCAAACTGAGATTGAGCTATGTTTTCTAATGTATTCTAGAGCAAATTTCCATACAAAAATAAAAACTCCTTCACAGAGAGTGATAGGTGGAGTCTGGGGTTATTGGTGTTTGCAGTTCACTTTGGGGGAGGGGGGCAGAATCAGTTTATCTAGAAACACACAGAACAAAGACAACTTTTGTAGGACGTTATGTAGGAAAATCCCTTCATGGGCTATAATTGCCTACAATGGCCAGGTCAGTGATATAGATGGGTGAAGCAAGCTAAATAAAAGAAAAAATATAGCTGCACTGATAAGTAGAACATATGTATCTTAGTATCACAAGCAGTCATTTTATTAGTTAGGATTAATTCTGTTACCTGCAAGAGAAAAGGTCATGAATATGAAAGAATTTTTATTGGTCATATAGCATGAAGCCCCAAAAAGGTATGGGGAGGCTCCAGCAGTGATTAATCTACCAATTCAAGAATATCATTAAAAAAAAAAAGATTTATTCTTTCATTTTTCTGTTCCACCTGTATCAGCCTTGCCTTCATGGCTACACAGCTGCAGCAATACCTGTAAGGTATCCAGACACCAACATTCAGAAGAAGGGTCAAAGTGGTCTTTCCTAGAAAGTACCCAACATAGCTAAAATACAGATCCTTTGTATCACTGGCAAAAAAAGCAAAAAAAAAAAAAAAAAAAAAAAGGGGGGGGGGCATGTACTCATCTTCAAATCAAACACTATTAAGGGAATTCTAGTACTTCACTTTAGTTGACTTTTACTCCAGTGAAAAGCTCAAAGGAAATAGTCTATGCTTAGAATTTGCTGAAAATATTGAAATTACTGACATAAAATATATGTATATTTGTCCTCAAATTACTTTTATTATCCCTGATACTAGTTTGCATGAATAATAAAGGTAAAATGATGGCATTTAAGTACTAGATGCAAGATTTGCTCATGGCTCCCCCATTGCCACATATCTCTCAGATTCTTTAGCTTAAACTTAAGGACTAAATACTAGAATGAAGATAGAATGTGTGATAGTAAAGGCCAGGGTAAAACTTAGGTGAACCAGGTGGAAGGAGGAGTAGAACTCCTCTGAAATGACTGTTTGTGAAGGACCATGTGCACAGGACTTAAGTGCGGAGGAAAGACATACTTTGTAAAAACAGTTACCGTGAGAAGGACTAACAAAGTTTGGGCAGAATTTATCATTTAATTTTAAATTTTGGAAAGTAAAGAAAAAACAGTTTGTTGGCAGACCTTTACAAAGCTAAAGAGAAGAAAGAAGAGAATATCTAAAAATATGAGAAATGATTACAAAATGTCATAAAATTAGCAAAAGGCAGGATTGACAATATAAAAGATGAAATAAAAAACTTAGAAGGTAAAATTATTCAACAATACTAAGAAACAGGCAAAGAAAACTCAGAACATGATAATATGAGCAGATTAGATATCAGAGATTTTAAGAAAACCATTAGTACTTCCAAAAAGGAGGTAAGAATAAATGAAAGAATATGAAAAGAGAAAGAAAAAAGACTAGATAGTATTGGTGGCTTGATATATTTAGGGGTAAAACTATCTGGAATAGGGGCCTCCCTGGTTGCATAGGGGTTGAATTTCAGCACTATCACCCAGATGACCTGGGTTCAATCCCCAGCCAGCAAGCTCCCACATGTACAGCAGACCTCTCCTGTCTGGTCTGCTGCTCCCCTCAGCAGTGCATTACAGTCGATCTGCCTGCTCCGCTCCCCACTCTGTCTCTGGTGAATCCTCTCTCCTCCTGCACCTCTGGCCTACACACCAGTTCTTCTATGCAAAAACAGATAATATAAGAACTCTCTACAAAATAAAACTATCTGGAATATCTGAAACACTTGATCGTTTCCTCTCCACTGTATCAGTTATTTATGTTGCATAACAAATTTTCCCTAACTATAGCAACTTGCAAAAAACAGAAGACTGCAGTTAAGGTCCAACTGGAATGAGGTCATTCTACAGTTGCTGATACAATTCAGTTCCTTGAGAGCCCTTAGACAGAGAGGCTCAACAGGCTCCTGGCCTTAGTCCCTCACCAGACAGATGTCACTAACACCAACTTGGTAACACAGCTCCATCCGTTCTATAATCTGTTTGCAAATAAAACTTTCTTTTTCATACATCCTTCACTATTTTAAACTTAAAAGCATTTTCAAAACTTATAAAAGGTGGAAACTTGGTCAGGTGCTAGGAGTATTTCAAGAAACCCTTTGGTACCCTAGTCAAACAATACCATAACTGTGTGTGTGTTTTTTTTAAGTTAAAAAAAGAAAAATGTGACTCATCAAGACAAACTGGTGACTCACCTGATAATGTTTTCAGTGGAGTATTTTGTTTTCTAAAGATTTATTTATTTATTCATACAGAACTGGGGTACAGGCCAGAGGTGCAGGGGCAGTGAGAGGCTTCACCAGAGACAGAGTGGGGAGCAGAACAGGC